AGAGAAGCAAAGATGAGGAAATCTTCACATAAGAAGTTTTGTCTGTTAAAAGAAAATAAAAAGCCCAAACTTTACTGAACCAATTTAAAACTATTATTGATAGAAGATGAAGAAACACAACATGGTTTAGTCCTGTTAAATCCTGGTTTAGTCCTGGTTTAGTCCTGGTTTTAGACCTGGTTTTAGACCTGGGTTTGGACCTGGGTTTGGACCTGGGTTTAGATCTGGGTTTAGATCTGGTTTAGACCTGGTTTAGACCTGGTTTGGACCTGGTTTGGACCTGGGTTTCTGGGACCTGGGTTTAGTCCTGGTTTTAGACCTGGGTTTAGTCTTGGTTTAGACCTGGTTTAGTTTCCAGCAATGAGTGAAATTACAAAAAAAAGGGATATAGCCCAAAATGTGAAAACAGGAAAATCCCTCTGTGTAATCCATTTATTTGAACAAAGTAACTGTAATCTAATTACCACTCACTGAAACAGTAACTGTAACTGAATACAGTTACTCATAATTTGTACTCTGATTACATAACTCCAGTACATGTAATCTGTTACTCCCCAACACTGGTTATAATGTTGATGTGATGTGGTGACACAGGAAGTGCTCCACTGTGTTTTTAAACTCCACACAGCTTCACTAGAATCATGTGGATCATTTCAGCTTTGGAATTGATGATCTACTGTAAATAAATAAAGGGAAAAGGAGATGTTCACTTCAAAACTTGTGCTTCTCCAGGTGTGTTTTTGAGGAAGGACCAATATTAGAACATGTCTTAAAGCTCACAGGAGTCAGTTTTGTGTGATATAGAGTCTTTAATATCGTCTTGTCTCGTTGCAGGTGCTGGGGGGGTTTGCTCCAGATGCCCTTCCTGCTCGGCTCTTCCTCGAGAGGCTGGTTTCCTGTGGTGCCATAGATCTGTGTCTCGTGTCTAGCACCATTTGAAATCAGTGTTCTCGGGGACAGAATCACGCCTTTATGCTGCTAATCCTTTAGTCTGGGGGTCCGTCACCTGCTTGTTTCTATGAATATGTCATCGCTCTGTCTGGAATGTTCCACAGTGTGACATTAAACAGCTCTACTTTACATTTATTCAATTACAGGTGGTTTTACAGCTCAAAAATACTGAGAAAAACGACATTGTGACTGAGCGGGGCGACTCTCCACAGATCTGACCTGTAACTTGCTCTGGTTTGGTCTCCATGAAGATACACAGCAAAAAGTGGAGTGTTTAAAATTTGATCTTTCACAGTTCATGAAGTCAAATTTTTAAATGTTTATATTAACATTTTTTAACACTTTGTAGAGTTATCCTGATTTAACAAAATAAAACACCTCTGTGTGTTGTTTAATTTTTACTTTATTTTAGTTAATTTAGGATGAAATTATGTACAAAACTGGTTCAAACTGGTCTTCTCTCACAAGAGTTTGAAGTGGTGAATGGGAGGAGAATTAACACAAATTAACACTAGAGGAAGTTGAATTAACACTAGAGGAAGTTGAATTAACCTCAACCACATCAACTCTGGCAAATAACTCCAACCTCCATTTAACTTTTAAATAGTTAAAATAACACTTTTGGTGTTAAAAACAACTGTGAAATATTTTACCCTAAAATTTTAACCCTTCACTTTTTGCTGTGTAGAAAGGTTTAATGCCATACTGTGGAATATTCCAGACAAAGCATTAACATCTCCATGGAGAAAAGCGTTGGCAAAACATTTACACATTGGACCTTTAATCGCATCATTTACTGTGTAAAACACATCTTAAAACTTTTCTGTCTGTGTTTGCCAATGTGTGCATTGTGTCACCATGGAGACCGCTGAACATTCCGCCTTAGACATACATGTAGAACACCCCCAACGTGAAGTCCCTGCAAAGAATTAACAGTGATTTGAAAAGTCTCAGAAAATGGGAAATATTCACTTTAATACACTTTGACACACATATTTTCACACATTACACAGACACAGGAGGTGGGGGGGGTTCAGTGTCTTGCCCAAGGGCACAGCGACAGTATTGAGCTGGGATTGAACCTCCAACCTGCAGCTCAGAGGATGAAGAGTGTGTCCGTGTGTGTGAAGTCCACTTAAAGATGACCGGCGTCGTGTGGTGCTCAGAGTGTGGAACGTTTCTAGCACCAAATGAAATCGGTTATGAAGCGTGGACCAGAGCAACACACACCTACAGGAGGAAGGAGGAGGAGGAGGGAGGAGGGAGGAGGAGGAGGAGGAGGAGGAGGGAGGAGAGGAGAGATGAAGGAGAGGAGCAGAGGAGGAGGAGAGATGGAGGAGGAGAGATGGATGGAGGAGGAGGAGGAGCAGAGATGGAGAGGAGCGGAGGAGAGATGAAGGAGAAGAAGAAAAGAGAGGAGGAAAGGAGGAAAGGAGGACAGGAAGGAGAGAAGAGAGGTGTTAGAGAGGAAGTAGAGAGAGTGATTCTGTTCTGGTCCATTACAGGTTCTTTAAATGTATTTAAACATGTAGAACAGAGTAGATGATCAGAATGTGATCATCATGTGTTATTCTGTGTCCACAGAGACCAGAGCTTCACTGGAATAAATCTTCACACTGTCCAGCTCCAAACTGTGTGTCTCTGTACTTGTGTGTCTCTGTGTGTTTGAGATTTGTATTTTAAGACAATACAGAACTGTGGAAAACTAAAGACTGTTTTTGTTTTCTTTTACAGAATTAGATCAATTAAATTAAATTATACATACTTATACATTTCACGATAAGTTAACATAAGATAAATATACATATTCAGCATGATTTGATCAAATTTCATCAACATGAAAAAGTGACGTTCATGTTCTGAGAAAAATATGTGTAGAGGAGATCGAAATAAGTTTCAAAGCCTAAACATCATTTTATTACATGCAACTGCTTTTCATAACTTTTTTACACAAATCCAACAACCTTTTTTCCTCAGTGTTGGATGATGACAACATGATGATTTACAACATTCTGATTTCTGTCAGAAATTTCTAATTCAGTGCACCAAAAGAAAATATAATCAAGTTATAAAAGCTCTCCCATTACAGATTAGAGCTGTGGCCGGGCAGGAGATATTTTACTCTAATATTTCTCCTGGACTGAGACAATTTTGCATTGAAGGGGTTGAATTGTGTGATTCATAGTGCAATAACACATTTTTGAGATGTTCCTTAGATGACACAAACTTATTTTGTGCTGGTGAAAATTTAAAAGAGTCACTTTCAGAAATTGAGTCTGAAATGCTGAAATTAAAAACATGGTTTGATAAGAACAAATTATCTCTAAATTTGAGCAAAACAAAAGTAATGTTATTTGGAAACCACAGTGACAATAAGCAAATTCAGCTGCAAATACAGGGGGATAATACAGGGTAAAGGTGTTACTATTGATGAAAAACTGAACTGGAAAGAACACATACAATATATACAGAAGAAAATTTCAAAAAGCAGAGCAGAATTGATTGAGCAACTTGATTGTTCCTTAGTTGCACCATATTTAACATCCTGTGCTGAGATCTGGGGTAATAATTATAAAACAATATTGGAACCACTATTCACATTCCAGAAAAAAGCACGACGGATCATTCAGAACGCTGGGTTTTATGACCACACCAACCAACTATTTATCACTTCCAACATTTTAAAACTTAAGGATTTGATAAACTTCCAGACAGCAAAAATAATGTACAAGGCAGAAAGGAAGGAACTACCAAAAAATATTCAGAAACTTTTTAGGGAAAAGGAGACAACTTATAATTTAAGGGGAATTTATCTTTTTGAAATGGCCAGAGTCCGAACATACGACGGAGTATAAGGATCAGATAAAAAAAAACAACATGCTGGCGCTACGAGAATAAAGTCATAACATTTCGACATTAAAGTCGTAATTTTATGAGAATAAAGTCAAAGTTAAAATAAAGTCGTAATATTATGAGAATAAAGTTATAATGTTACGAGAATGAAGTCATCATAAAATCAAAGTGAAAAATGTGGCAGAAGAAGAACCTTGTTTTTCAATATAAAACCAAAATAAGAAAACCAACAACAATTTTCTTCATTATTTGCACCTCTGGACTGAACCAGGACTAAACCAGGACTAAACGAGGTCCGAGACCAGACGGGGACTGAGACCAGGACTTAGACAAGGACTGAGTCAAGGACCAAGATTGAGACCGGGATCAGACAAGAACTGAGACCAGGATTGAGACCGGGAACAGGACCAGGACTGAGACTGGGACTGAGACCGGGACCAGACCAGGACTGAAAACGGTTTAGTCCTGGTTTAGTCTTGATTCAGTCTTGATTCAGTCCTGGTTCAGTCCGTATACGGCGCAATATTCCCGCATGACTTTATTCTCATAAAATTACTACTTTATTCTCGTAAAATTATGACTTTTTCTGGCTTCGACTTTATTCTCATAATATTACGACTTTAATGTCGAAATGTTACAACTTTATTCTCGTAGCGCCATTTATTTATTTATTTATTTTTTTTTATCTGACCCTTATACTCTTATTCCTCTGTATTTCAGTTTGTGGGGTCAAAATCTGGAACTCTATGAGTGATGAGCTCAAAACATTTCCAAATATGAAAATGTTGAAATATAAAGAAATGGTTATAGCTCAAGAAGAAATTTAAGTTTATTGCTAAAGTAAAGGAGATATGATTTAAAATTTTGAATAAACTTTATCCAACCAATGAATTCCAAAAACAAAAATTGTAATTGGAGATTACAATGTAAATGTGTGTTCTGTGACACAGGGGAAGAAGACTTGGAACATCTTTTCTCTTCATGTGATTTGGTACAACAATTTTGGTTTGATTTTCATTCGTTGCTTCAGTCCAGGGGAATTCAATTTGCCCCTCTAACCATAAAAGAAATAATATTTGGTGTATTAAGAGAAGATAAAAGGAGGGAATTTGGAGTTAATAGTGTATTAACCTTAGGTATATTTTTTATTCACAAACGTCAATGTTTGAAGGTAAAACCAAATATAACACACTTTAGAAATGACTGAAGAATTTTTGTTGACTCATTGAACCTGACTGAAAAAAAGAAAAGCCGGGTTTCTTGTTTCCTTTTTGAATGATGTCAGTTTGTTCCTTTGATTACACGCTTTAGAATTTGACCCCATAGTTCGTTCATGAATGTATTTTTGTTTTTGCTTTTCTTCACAACTGTGATTTGATTTTTATTTTTTTATTTTTTTAAGAGGTATGGATGTGATTTTTGTGTGGTGCCTTTTTGTTTGATCTGAAGTACTAATAATAAAATAAATGAAAAAAAAAAACAAAAACAAAAAAAAGCTCTACAGCTGTAACTGACGCATGCGCAGACCTCACTTCCGTCACAGATTTGGCAGCGTCAGTTTCTCTCATTGGTCCAAAACTCCACTTCCGACATATTTAAAAATACTCCGCTAATTCCCTGCAACATTTGTGGCTTTAATTCAAACTATTTATTACAAAAAAGATCCCTAAGCTCCTCAGATGGATGAAGTCTCGTCTCAGTTTTCGACAAAAGGAGTTTTAAAACGCCAATTAAGTTTGAGAGTCCGGAAGAGAAGGAGCAGCGAGGACCGATCATCTGTGCAGGACCTCAGAGGCACTTTGAGACGGTAAGAGCACGATCAAACCGCCGCCCCAACGCCACATATCTGCGCTTTTAATAGTTTAAATTTAGTAAAAGTATCTTACTGAACCAGGTTCTCATTTCTGGGCTGTTGTCTTTTTTATTTGTGCATGCATTTGCTCATTTTGTTTACTGTGTTGCTGAATAAACGTGTTGCAAAATTAGGAACTGGATTTGTAATCGTGATTGCAGAAAATGAACATTGCATGAACAGGGAAAATTGACATTTTCTGTTGAACATTTATTGTTTTTGCAGTGTTTAAATTGTGACTTTAAGTTTGTTTTAAAGTTGTGCAGAAAAGCCACCAGAGGGCAGCAGAGGACCACGTTTAAACACAACTAGTTGCATTTATTTAGATTTTTTTTAATCATTATTATTATATTTTTTTACCTTACACTTAGACGAACTTTATTGATCCACAGGGGAATTGATTTGGACACAGGAGCTCACACATCACAATATAATATAATAACAAAGAGAAATATTATAAACAGTAATAAATAAAATAGAAAAAGAAGTCATAAAATATAAAATCTCAGTTTTATACAAGAGGTCACAGGAAGACAGCGCAACAATGATATGATGACTGACAGGACACAGGGTTATCCATTTGTTGTACAGTTGTAGGGAGTATTATCTGTTACATAAGGGTGAGTTGTTGTGCAGTTGTAGGGAGTATTATCTGTCCCTCTATAGTCTGGTGCAGTGGGTGAATTATTGTACAGTTGTAGGGAGTATTATCTGTCCCTCTATAGTCTGGTGCAGTGGGGGAGCAGGAGTGTCCATGATGAAGAGCAGTTTGTCCAGTGTCCTCGTGTCCCTCACTGTGATAAATGTCTCCAGCTCACAGACGATCACATGAGCAGTTTTACAGATCAGTTTGTCGATCCACCCAATGTCCCTTTTCCTGGAGCTGCTCCTCCAGCAGAACACAGAAAAGTCCAGGACGCTGGCCCCACAGACTGGGAGAAGATCTCCAGTAAGTTGCAGCACACATTGAAAGACTTGAGCTTTCTCAGGAAGTAGAGTCTCCTCATGCTCTTCTTGTACACAGTATTACTGTTGTCCCTCCAGTCCATCCTGTCGTTCACCTGGATTCTTGTAGGTTCTTGTAACAGTCCACTATTTCCTCTTGAAATGAATCCCCACTTCCTTGGTCTTGTCAATAGGGCTGGGTATCATTAAGAAGTTGCCGATACGATACATACCTTGATACATAGGCCACGATACTGTCTCGATACAGTGCACTTTTGATTCGATACGATATTTCAAAACGATTCAGTACGGTTCATTAAAAAATAATGGCTAAATAATTTCTTCTTGTGCAAAGTTCAAACATTTTAATAATCAAAACAGTGAAAATGTCAAATGTGTTTCCTTCCTCTAAACAAGCAACAAAACTGTAGCTGTAACAAAATAATTGACTAAAATACACCAAAAAATTAGCTTGGCGATATATCGATACAGCAGGCCTTGATACCAATACTGTATCATTACATTAAACGATACGATATACCGATATTTTGATATTTTTGCACAGCCCTACTTGTCAACGTTCAGGAGCAGTTAGTTTGCCTGGGACCACTCCACAAAACTTCTACTTAGGGTAGACATGGGGTCTTAAAAGTCCTAAAAAGGTCTTAAATTTCATGTTCCTAAATTAAGGCCTTAAAAAGTCTTAAATTATGTTGTCAGAGTCCGATTTTTTTTCACAAAGGCCTTAAAATTCATTAGCCAATTTTTTTTGTATACTCAACCAGGCTGCAGTGCAATGTTAAATCCAGGAAAAAAACAACAACGTGAATGAATTTGGCGTATGCGCAAAAAATACTTTGGTTTGTGGCGCCGACGGTGATGAGTAAACAGTCAGTAGAGTGGAGGAAGACGCTGGATGGATCATGGGGAAGTGTCGGTTTAATCCACAGTGGCTCTTAGATTCTAGATACAGTAGTTGGTTTGTCATTATTAGATTGAATCTGGTGTTTTTTCACCAGTATAATGTGTGCAATGTTGGTCTTAATTTTGTGGTCTTAAAAAGGTCTTAAAAAGTCTTACATTTGGGTTAGTCAAACCTGGGGATACCCTGTCTACTGCTTATTCTCTCGAACATGAACAACACTTTCTTTTATTGGTGTTTTTAAACAAATTACATAAAGAGGTAAATGTGTAGCAGTTCTGTGTAGAACTGCTGTTAGAAATGCAGAACTACACTCACACTAGGAGTGTGCAAAAATATCAAAATATCAATATATCGTATCGTTTAATGTGCTGACACAGTATTGATATCGTGGGCTGCTGTATCGATATATCGTCAAGATTATTTTAGGTATATTTTTACTAAATTAGTTTGTGTAAGAGCTACAGTTGTGTTGACATTTTCAGTGTTTTGAGTAAAATGGATGGTTTTCACTTTCACTTTTCACAAACTTAGTGGACTTTTAGTATTAGAGTCATCATTTAGCCTTTTTTGCACTGAACCGTATCGAATCGATGTGAAATATATTGTATCGAATCGTGTTGAATCGAAAGCTCTCTGTATCAGAAAGCGTATCGTATCGTGGCCTATGTATCGAGATATGTATCGTATCGGTAACTTCTTAATGATACCCAGCCCTAATTCACACCAGACTCCATACATCTGTACAACAACTTCAGGAAGATCAGTAAAATGCACAGCCACCAATGACTCAAACAACACATACAATACACAGGGCGACTTTAACTTTGTCCCTTTGTATCTTTTGTAAATATCTTTTTTATTTTTGTGTTGGTAAAATAAAAGCACTTGGGCCTGCAGTGGAAAATCGGCTCAGTTCTTCTCTGTTTCTCTTAAACCACCAACGTTCCGGACTATTACATAATTCGAGATCACGGTATTTCGGTTATTGTTCCATCCCGAGTGTCGTTAAGGGCTCGAGTATAAATACAGCTGAGTCACATGTTTACGTCGTGTTTGAGCTCAGACTGGACCAACCTGTGACTCGGCCGTTTCCCTTCAGACAAAAGCACAAGAATCACACACGCTTCGTTTACAAGCCACCAGGAAAACAGGATTAAAGGCCTCGTCTGGGGTTGGGCGATCTGGCCTAGAAATAAAATAGTGGATTTATTTGCTCCAAAAATTAGTTTTAAGATTTTTTTTTTTTTCAAACTAAAAAGCTTGTATTCAGAAGTGGGCACGAAAAGGCCTTATAAGCTTTAAGGTGCTTTATAAAGTTATGACCTCCTCAAAAACACCTGGAGATGTGTTTTGTTTCATTCACATGTTTGAGTAACTCTTTATTATCAGTCTGTCTACATCTCCGAAGCTCAAAATGCTCTGTTCCACCTTGTGATGTCATGAAAGAGTAGATTTCAAGTAAACAGCTCCTTTTGTTCAAAGAGACAAAAATGGTCCAAATCAAGCATGTCCAAACTATGGCCTGTGGGCCAAATGTGGCCCTCAGACAAATCTTTCTTGGTCCTCAGGCTTCCAGGTGAATTTGTCCAAATTACCTTGCATGAATAAAAAATTAACTTTTTTTTCTTTTTCGCAAGTTTTTGAAAATCTACCTTTATAAAGCTCATATTTAATATTTAGTGTTTTGTTTTAAGCATTTTAGCATGAATAAAGACTGATGGCTCATTCTAACGTGTTAAACATGCACATATTTCAGTTATTAATTGTATTGAGCACCAGTCTACGGCCCTCGATCAGCCCTCTGTTTTGTCTGTGTTTAGATATGTGGCCCTAGATGAAAAAAGTTTGGACACCATTGTCCAAATGATTCTAGTGAAGGTGTGTGGAATTTCAAAACACAGTGGAGCACTTCCTGTATTACCATATGACATCACAAGTTGGAACAGAGTGTTTTCTGTTTGAGAGAAGCCTAAATCTACAGGGTTTGTGTGTTCAAGGTTCTTTATTTGTCATTCAAGCATTCGAGAGACACACATGACAGAACAAAGTGTGTTCCTCGAGGTCCAGCAACTGAAAGAGATAAAGAATTTTTTAATATTGCTTATTTATTACTGTATTGTTCTTAAGAGCAATTAACAGTCCTAACAGACAAGTCTAAGTAAAATGAGTGACAGGAAGTCGGTGTGCAGTGTTCAAAAGTCTAACAGCCTCAGATATGTGTGAATGAAACACTGCAGGTATGTTTGTGATGAGGAAACTACATTGTCCACTGGGGAAATCTTTTATGAGTGACAGAAAACAAAAACTGCAGTGCTGCAGGGCTCTGTGAGACGCCTGTCCTGCTTTTTCAATGTCTTTTCTGATGCAAGAAAATAGGGAGAATAAAAATCTATTTTTTTCCAAACAGATCAATTTGAATCTTTTGTCCAGCTCGAACCCAGTCCAATTTAAACTCAATACATCACAAAAAATCCTCTCCTGGGCGCAGCAGGTCCCGTGTGGCGCTCAAGAGAAGGAGGCGTGTGGAGGGAGGAGGGGGACATTCCTGTTGAGAGAATGGGACACTTCAGCTGGGACTTTCAAGCCAGAAGGACACTAGAATCTGTATTCAATCAAATACACAGCCACCAATGACTCAAACAACACAGACGATACACAGGGCGACTTTAACTTTGTCCCTTTGTATCTTTTGTAAATATTTTTCTATTTTAGTGATGGTAACATAAAAGCACTTGTGTCTGCAAGAAAATGGGGAGAATAAAAATCGATTTTCTTTCCAAACAAATCAATTTGAATCTTTTGTCCAGCTCGAGCCCAGTCCGATGTTTTTTAACTGTTTTTCAAAATGCAGTAAAGCTGGGAACTTCGACTGAGATTCCAGTAACCCGGAATTTACACCAGGAGTGTCGGGCAGAGCTGCAAATGCACAAACTTTTAAAAGCTTCACTTTACTCCAGAGGAAACAGAACTGCTCCTGTGACGCAGTCTCTGTGGATTCTCACGTTTAAACACTAAACTCTTTGGATTCTAACGTTTAAACACTACATTTTTTACATGTATTCATGTATGTTTTCATTGTTGATTG